CATTAACTTTAACGTCGAGCATTCATTCAGAGGATCAGTATATGTTCTCTGGAAATGTAATTCTCATTAATAGACCAACAGCGGTCGGATTCTTTGTGTTGTTGTTGTTGCAATTTAGCGCGCTTTATAACGTCATAACAAAGAGGTGTATTATTTAGTAGTACTGCACCTGATATGAGTTAAGTGATGACGTCACCCTGCTGCTCTATATAAAACCGGGAGCAAGCGAGGGCTTTACCATTCTGGCGAATTGCCCGATGATGCTGGATGTATTTACCAGCGAAACGTCGTACTCAAACTGTAAATGTGGATTCACTCTTCAACACACCGGTGGGCTAAAGTAGTGAATTATTTGTCTTTTGTCAACGTGACACTTTTTTTGCTGATTGGCCGTGTCGGGTGGTGGAGGGTTACGACACATTTATAAATAAACGCGGTCTAACCCAAAAACCTTTATTATGAATAGTAGTACACCCATTACGCAATCGCTTGCGTGAGTTCCCTGTACCACGCGCGCGCACCCGTCACACACGCACGCTTGCACACACTGACAAACACGTGTCCCACCCACAGTGGAGTCACGTGTGCATTACGCAGGGAGAGCGATGTATGCTGTATGCAGAGAATACGTATTCGGGCTCTCGAAATAGATATTGAGTGCATGGCAAACGATTAAAGCCGGCGGAGAGCTGCGGTTTGTTGCACGTGAGCAAATGTCTCGAGAAACTCACGCACCATTGTTACCCTATTAACTGAGACACGAAGTGAGCTAGCTGTCCGTCGTGGTCTTTAATGGTGAGTGCACTGGAGTTGCAAACCACAGGTCGCTGGGTCGTATTCATCTGAGACAAACAATGTACATCTCTTAAATCGGTGGGTTCACTACAAACACAAAAGCTGAAATTGGTTACCGGTTGCTGACTTGCGAACCCGTAATCACTTTCTCGTATGATCTAACAACCCTGATGCGTGTCCGGGACGTGTGGTTGGTGGTTTTAAGTGGTGCTCGCTAACAACACGCGCATGCACAGACTTAATGCGCGATGTGTACACCATGCATTCATGTCTACACACTGCAACTACATGATGTGTTTATGGATTAGTGTGTATACCTGTCGTGTTTGTATGTATGCCTTCGTCATACATTGCCTACAGTTGATTTTTTTTGTATTATTCTTGATACCCAGGGAAACCTCACTGATGAGGCACATTCATGTTGCGCAGGAGGATCTTGCCAAGTTTTCGCAGCAGGGGGGCGATGATTGCTCTGTACAATCCAGTTGTGTAATTATGTTATACTTGTTGACTGTGCAGTACTAACGACACGAATCAGAATCAAAACCCTTGTTAGGGGGACACGATAATCTACGAAGCTCCTCTTCAACAGAAAATGCGATAAAGGATACGAGAGTCAGATAGATAAGAGTTAAGCCAGTCACTTAAACATAAATAACATGCATAAAGCATGGACGTACAAATTGCACTCGTACGTAAAATTCCAAGTGCAAGCTTTGACCTGACAGAAAAAAAACATGTACAGAAACGGGCGTTTTTGTTGGCACTATTTACAGCTAGTCTGCGTTTTCGTCACGATGTACACATGCATGGGTACGCCATCGTCGTGTGCGTATTGAAGAGTGTGTCGCAGTCGGACGATGCTTAACAAGGTGTGTGTTCACGTGTTTACGTTACAATAAAGTAGCCCTGCATACAAACGACAGTCTGTTGGGGAAAATGCTGTTAGAGAGCACCTATGAAGTGCCGATGTTTACACACCAGGTGCTCATTGAAAGGCGGAGTCAGCCTATGGGGGGGGGTCCAGGACGGGTTCAAACATTCGGCACTGTTATTGGTCGCGAGCAGGGATCGAACTCGGGTCGCCGGGCTCAGAGCGCAGTGCCCTAACCACTGCACCACCGCTCCCCGCTGCATACGAACATACACGTACGTATGCAATACTGCATTGTCACGCATTTACCCAGATATGTAAGTGACGACACGAACACGGTGCGCTTCTGTAGGAAATGCTGGTGGATGTTGCATAAGCACGGAGGCTGCGCCTTTGACACATGTTTTCTGCGTGTTGTGTAGTGACATATATTGGGTCACGATGGCGCCTAGCGCCATCTACCGACAGAGAGAGGAATTGCATGCGTAGTAGCCCTCTGCCAGCAGAGTACACGATGTCATGGAAGAGGTCTCAAGGGGAGCATGGTTCTGGGGGCTGGCAAAGTCAAGGGCATTTGAGGACGTAGTAGCCCGATTGGCTGGCAAGGGCACGTGATAGGACAGGATAAGGATGTGGGTCAAAGGTGACAGAAGGGACACGTGGTGTATGGCCCAGAATCTTCTGGGAAGTTCAAGAAGGGGGCGTGGCCGAGGGCGGAGCCAGGCCACGCTGGGGGGGGCATAAAAGGGAGGTCCCGGGCTCCCATCGGGGCTGTCTGCTGGAATGGAACCTGGCCTGCTGCGTCTTCTCCTCGGTCTCCGGTCTTCGTGCTCGGCATCGTGGGTCAGGCAGTGTGCCGACTGACCTGACCCGTTTATATAGTTACCCCATGGTGGTTACCGGTTATCTAGTTACCCCGTGGTGGTTACCGGTTATGTAGTTATCTCGTTGTGGTTACTGGTTACGTAGTTGCCCCATTGTGGTCACAGAATAAAGGTGTTGCCTCCTGAATGTGCGTGTCTCTCAGGTGAACCCGTTACAGTTGTTTGAAACTTGAATCATTTGCATTTGACACTGGCTCCATACACACCTCCGCAGTCAGCATTTCCACATGGGTCAATTCTCCACGCTCACGGAGCCCTTTGTCAATCCACTGCTGGATGAAGGCCTCCCCCATGCCATGCGCATCGACGGAAGGTTGCTTGACCATACTTCCCCACACTGATCATGAGTGCGGGCTTGGTGAACGCAGGGAATGGTGACGTGGGAGCTTAGAGTGTACAGTACAACAATGGAATTTGCTGCTCTGCTCTCTGCTGCCGAGAGCGTGGCTCAGAAGTCTCTGCGAGCTGTTACGCGTGGTGCATTCGCCCACCAAAGCACTTGTCCAGGTTTCAAATTCGCTTCGTTTATCCCGGATATCTGATGAGATCGAGCACACATTCCAGGTGATTTTCATTTTGTCATTTGCATACCCAAAATCTCTTTAGTCCTGCACGAAAACTCATTTGCTCAGAACTGCTCTTTGTGTTTAGTTTGTGGTCCTTCCCCCGCACCTCCGATAAGTACGGTTGGCTATGTACGGTGCAAAAGAAACACAACGTGCATATACATAGAGCTCAGGTGTATGTATATCTCCGCACCCGAGCTTACCCCTAGCTCTACGTAGTCTGTGCGCGGTACAGGTCGACGTCCAAAGTACACAATAAATGCACGCTGCACGTGTATGCCATATTCATACATGGAGCTATTTTTTTCCGCATATTTACATCACAATGCAGTAACATACAAATGCATGAAATTGCAGTAGAGATAATTTACTCTTTGCAGTAGATGCTGGTTATTCTATAGCTTTGCATTTACAGATCAATTCACAAGGCATACAATTATGCATGTATGGGCGTGTGTGTGGAACAATCTTCCTTCTGATATTAGGAAGCCACTTTTAAATCGAGATTGAAAATTCTTTTTTTGAGAACTGCTTTTTGTGTTTAGTTTGTTGTCCTTCCCCCCGCACCTCCGATTTACGCGTTTGGCTACCTACGGTGCGAAAGAAGTTCAACATGCATACATAACATATGTGTAGTGACGCACTCAAAGACACTAGGAGTAGGAGGCACTCTATTTATTAACAGCCTTCACAGCTCACAAAAGGTAATTACAACTCTCAGTCAGGACAGCCGGCAGACTGCCTGACTGACGAAGCCGAGCAGGTGAAGACGGTGACGGCGACGAAGACCCCGGCAGCACGACGAGGGGACCCCACTCCAAACGACAGCCCCGTGCCTTCGCTCGGGACCCCCTTTTATCCTCCCAGCGTGGCCTCGCTCCGCCCCCCTTCTAGAACCTACTCGCGGGTTCCCTGGCTTGCCTCGCCGTGCCCCCTTCTGTCAGCTCTCCCCTACATCTCTCTGACTTGTCACGTGACCTGCTGACAGACAGGGCTGCTGCAACTGCAGATCCCCTTCTCTGCCAGCAACAAGCGCTATGCTACATAGTGACCCATTCCATGTCACTGCACACGTATTTACAAGGTACGTGTATTGCAGTGTTCAGCATTTACTGTTTACGTTGGCTGGTCTCCCACACTCTATACAGCCTGTACCTGCCAGTCATTCTCAATGGTTACTATGCATGCACGTGCAGGTTACATCACACACATTGTGTACAATGTGCACATGTTTACAACACTATATCACAAAAGACAGGCATTTCTGAAGAGTGTATTGTTTACTCTTTCCGCTGACTGGCCGATCACACTCTATATATGTAATACGAAGATAAATATCCCTCGTACAGCCTCAACAGACTGTTGGGGCACACACAGACGCAAGCAACACACTCAAGACATACACACGCATACAAAGATCCTCCGTATAGCCTTAACAGACTGTAGGGGCAAGTGCTGTTAGCGAGCACCTATGAAGGCCGGAACGGTACACGACAGGGTGGGTGGCCAGCACCACGTCCGGCCGCCTTTGTCTCCCCCAGTGACGATGTTTACACACCGCACCAGGTACTCATTTGAGGCTGAGTCGACCTAGGGGAGGCCCAGGACCGGTTTAAATAGTTGTCACTGGTGTTGGCCGTGAGTGGGTCGCCGGGTTTATAGCGCAGCGCGCTAACCGCTACACACTACCGCTACACTTACAGAGAGACACTCACGCGCACACAAACATACACACACACATATACACATACACACACACACGCGCACACAACGGGACACGACGCTGCCACGCACGGCCCCGTGTTCAATTTCTCTGCGTGACGTCACAAGGGGGAGAGAGCCGTGCGGCCACGCCCCCATCCCTCCCCCTCCCTCCTCTCGTTCCCGTCTCGGCGAAGCGCGCCCCACAGCTGCAGCGACAACAGCGGCGGCCGCTCTCGTGCGCTGCTGCCGCCTCCTGTGCACGGACCCCGCGCGTGTTGCCATCAGGCGGCGTTATCGACTGTCGTCTTCTCTCTCTCTCTCCTTCTTTCTCTTCCTTACCACCACCACCAACATCACCACCACCGCCCGGATTGTTGTTCCGCTTCTTGTGAAGGCGGTGAGTAAAAAGGCAAAACCTGCACCCCGAATGGCACCCTCCTCCTGACGAGCGGTGTCCTTTTCTTCACGTCTTCTTTCTTGACTTGCTGTTTTTATGTATACCCACCCACCCACCCCCACCCCTTCTTCCTCCTCCTCCTCCTCTCCATTGAGATGTTTGATTTTTGGGGAGATGCGGTTGGGGAAGTCTCCGCTCTCTCTCTCTCTCTTACTCTAACACACTGCGTCGTGTTGCTGTTGCTGCTGTTGCTGCTGTTATAAATTGCGCGATGAACCCTGACTAGTCACTCCTGCTGCTGTGTGCGGTGTCTGCAGCGTTGAAGCTCGACACGGGGGGGTGTGTGTGTGGGGTGTTGTTGACGGTAACGCGACGTTACATAGCTGCTACCTACCACCACCACCACGACTGCCTTCATCGTGATGCCCCTGCAGCGTGATCGTGGTGCCTGTCCGTGTACTGCCTGCAGGCACAGCGCTTCGCATCCATTTGATCTATAGACGCACTGCCAATGACGCGACGAGTAGCTCTGCGTTAAATCACAAACTACTACTGTGCTGTATTTGTGTGTGTGTGTGTGCGGTGCGTGTTTGGATTCGCTATGCAGTCTCTAAATATCAAGTGTAACGGTGTGCAATTGCTTAATGTATTGTCGACGCTGGTCTAGAGTGGTCGTTCAAACAGAGTCCCGACGACTCCGACTACCTTCTTACCTAGCTCGGTAATGTCGTGTAACACACACACACGCACACACACACACTTTACTTTTGCTAGTTTAATTGAAAAAAAAGCCCAATTAGACACAACGGCAATTCGTGTAACCTACTTACCACGTTGAAAAGAACCAAATTAGATAAGATAATGTGAGCAGTACATAGTGCCCAGGCTGTTACAGCATGCGTCCTTTTAGAATGTGCTCGTGTATACACACAAACACACAGTGCTTTATACAAGTATCTTAGAGTTTGTTTAATATTCAGTCGATGGGTAAGCGTCTGTGATTAAATGTGGATCAACTGTTCTGTTTTTAATTGTGCGCATGTCTTATTTATCTTAGCCGTGCGCACGCCCGCCCGCCCACACAAACACACACGTGCGAATGAACACACATGCACGCACGTGGTACACGTGGGTGTGTGTTCATTTGGCATCTTAATAGGTGCTCGCTAACAGCTTTCATTCGTCCTGACAGTCTTTTGATGAATGGGGTAATCCTCGTCGGTATCCATTTGTCATTGTCCTCGTTTTCGAAATTGAATTTAGATAGCTTCCTTTTGAAAATAACAACCCTGCTGTGGACCCCAGTGTGAAGGTAACGGACCCAAAGAAGTTAAAACGTCATTGCCAGTGCTCCACGCAGCACTATTATACATCACGGAATGCATCATTCACAGTGACGCATTGCCATAGTTGGGAGACATTGGTCGTCCGGTTAAAACGTCAAGGCGGCTGGGCTGAACAAGCCAGACTCCACGCGAAGTACAAATCTCGTTGTGTAGGATACCAACTACGACGACTAACTCCGTGCAGCGCGTATAGCATGCGAGGCTTCGCATCGACACACGTTGCCAAGTTCGAGACACCGGCACTTGTGTAGTTAAAGCATCTAGGCCAAGCGAACTGGAACGGAGCTGCAAGACGGGGGGTGGAGAGGGGGGTGGGATGGCAAGTGACGGGAACGTCTGGCAGGGTTTCGAGGGACAGGCACGCGTCCCTTCAAAAGCATCCGTCCGACTGCGGGGTGACCTGGCAGGGCATCTTAAGATTCTGCTCGTTAGGACTTGGCTCTGAGCCGACGGCGGCGTCCCATTGCCACCACATACCCTTAAGCATTTGTTAAAGTGCCGTATTAACATGAATACTTTATGCGTCGCCTTTGGTTTATCCCTTTATGATCAAAGCCATTAACTGCGCAGGCAGTGCTTAGAAGTCTTCCCTCGCACGCCGTCAAATAAAATAATAATAATTGGAGCTGTTTTCCTGCAACCCACTCACTGCTTCAATAGTTGCTGAGGTGAGCTGCTATTTTTAATTCGCCCGTGCCGTGGAAGGATCTACACGGGAATATTATCACAACATTGAGTGCTGCAGGAGTACAATCGTAAACATAATTAAGCAGCCCTTATCATTCGATCCGCTCGTTTCAAAACAAGTGCATGAATTACACTGATATTACTCTTTGGTTCTTTCGGTAAAGTCACGTAGGTATAAAATAAAATAAAATGTTATACCTACGTGACTTTACCGAAAGAACCAAAGAGTATGGATTCCTGCAGTCACGAAAACTTCAAATCTAGATTTTACACTGATATTCTTGAGACAATAGAATGCATTGTGAAATTTAAATTGTACGTGCGTGGCTTCCTGTTGTCGAGGAAGGCATATTTTATTGCCACGTACTGTTGCCTATGCATACCCACATTGCAATTTAGTGTATTGTAGTTCCTGTCAATGTTGATAATGGATGGGCGATGCTGTTTACAAAACACGGCACTTAATTCCACCATAACCTTGCATCTAAAGCCCCCTTCCTTCCGCTGTCTGTACAACTGTGGGAACTGACGACTACCACTGCAGATTGACGAATGGCAAGACATGAATCATTTTGACACAGTGTGTGTGGGCAGAACTTTTTTTTTCTATTCAAGGCTACCGGGTAAGGGTATGGAGTAGTTCTCTACAATGCTGGGAGTCTTACACACTTTCTGAGCAGATGGGCAGGCTGAGGTCTGCAGCGTCTCGGGTTTTTTTAAATCAATGTAAAATAAACATGCAAAAAAATAAGCTGACAGAACGTAAGTTAAATTCAATTTAGTTAAGTCCCACAGTCGACTAAGTTGAGGTATTTTGAGTCGTTTATTTTAGCACCTGTTAAAAGTTTGTCTTCTTGTACCGGGAGCCCAATGATGAAAAATATTGATCGGCCCGTTTTCCGAAAAGTTATTGCCTGCCTTGTGCGCACATGCAATGCGTAATTGCTTGTTTCATTTTCTTCCGCTGACAAGAGTTCACGGTCATCCAGAGGTGATAGTCCCCACTGTCACACTCTGTGACGCTGACAGAGTTCGATGTCCATGCTCTCCGCCAGCCAGAGGCTTTCCATTTCTCTGACTTATTAAGGGGTCATTGTTCACAGCATCAGCTCATCGTATATTAAGTTCATATTAATAATACATTTACACAACTTTGCCAATCCACTGATGGGTGAAGATCCCCCTCCATCTCATGTAAGTCGTGGGGATTGTTATCTGAACATACTTCATGCTGATCGGTACGGGTTTGTGAAGTGAGCTCAGGCCCAGGTTCGGTTCAGGTACCATTCGCCACTGGTACTTGCTTTGGCCAGGAAATCGAACTCGGGTTGCTGTGTTTACTGCGCAGTGTGCTAACCGCTGAATAATCACTCCCCACTATTGTGCATTTTTTAATCTTCGATTAAAGGTGACTGTGGTTATGTACTTTAAGCCTGTATCTATTGGTCAATGTTTTCCTTTTATGCACGGTTTGCGTATGTACGCACCTTTATGCATAAATTATTTCATTGGCAATGATAATTGCTTGAGCAGAATGCTTTTCATTAGAATGCAGTGGTGATTCCTGTGACACCTTGGCTTGTGCCAAGGTACAAAGCTAATGCTTTTTTTTCTGCCTGATTGCTAAACTCCGCACTGATTTTGTGGTCGGTGCCGTGAGTGGAACAGAGAAAGTTGGTACAGTATGTCTGAGCAGCGCGCATGCTGTGCATTTTGTACAATGCCAAAGGGAGCTCTAAGTCAACGGGGACAAACAAGAAGCCCGCTTTTCATTTGATGCCCTTTTGCAAGCTAGTAGCAGGAGAGGCCAAGCGAGAATTGTATTTAAATAAAATAATAAATTGATAAAATAAAATAACACAATAATATTCTCACGACGTTTCGGCCACAACATTTTATTTTATCAATTTATTATTTATTATTTTATTCTCATTCTACGTGGCTTTACCGAAAGAACCAAAGAAGATGAATCCTTGCAGTCACGAACGCTTTAAATCGAAATGTATTTAAATAGTTATTCTGCATTTGGATTTATTTAATTTGTTTGAGATATACATAAAAAACGAATGGTATATCTGAAAATACTGCACCTTCAACAAATTAATTTATATCACGAGGTATGATGCTGATTAGCTGTAAGACGGCGCTGTGTAGAGAAACATGAGCAGAAAGAAAATCCTTCATGCTGCAAATGAAAAAAATGCAAGACTTATGAATTGTGCAAGATTGCAGAGAATCTCTCTTAAGCTGGGTTAATCATGCTGTATTGTTGTGTGCGCTACTTTTCACGGGGACGGGTTGGAGGGTTGGGGGGGGGCGATGTGATTCGTTAACATTATACACGAGACACAAATCAAAAGTTCAAAATTCCGAAGCTTGCATTTTTAAATCGGCCGAGTCAATTTCAAAGGACATCACTGCGTCACGCTGAATCCCTGAAAGACTAATTATATTTATGAAATGATTCTGATAATAATCGCACGCGTGCATACGTGCGAAATATTTCGTGAAAATAATGACGTGTTTGAAAAAAAAAACGTATTTGCATATTTTCCTGGTGATGATAACACACCACATTAGAATTTTCTAGAATGTATTCAAATTTACGTGGATATGAATGACTCGTGTTCTTTTCTAATTGTATACACATGTATAGCAATATATGCCGATATATTTTTCATAATATGCATACACTCATTAAAAGTGTCACTGCCAAAGAGACGATTCTGATATCCTCCAATTAGCATGAAATTGGCCAATGGTCAAGCTAATGATGGAGCGGGAACCCAAGACTAGAATGCGTCGGAAAAAATCACGTTCGCCGGAGAGATGGAGCGATGTAATAAGCGCGTGTGCTGGGTGGATTGCTACGTCGCAGTTTCGTGATAAGATGGTGATAGCTTGTAGACGCTTTCCTCCAGCAGTGGACTGATCATGGAGGATGATGATACGCATGCAAGTTGCCAG